TGTGTGTGTGTGTGTGTGTGTGTGTGTGTGTGTGTGTGTGTGTGTGTATGTGTGTGTGTGTGTGTACGTGGTGAAATACCAAACCCATGTTCTAAGATCTGGACAAGAAATATGATCTTATCTCATCTTTTTCAACCCGGATTGACTATGACAGGCAGATCCTAAAGCTCTCCTCCTTATTGTTCTAAAATGTGTCTATACTTGACTTTGACTTTGACTTTACTTTGACTTTGACTTTACTTTGACTTTGACTTTTTCCTTCCTCTGGTATCCTTTGAGGATGTCGAGGGGAGGTGCAGGTTTCGGTTCTGTGCTAGGTGTGTAGCGTCTGTGATAGATATGTTATGTTGTTCTGGACCTTTTTAACCCTATCCAGCCAGGTCTTTCTTGGTCTTCATCTTGGTTTGAATCTGAAGTCGATGAGGGCGTAAAAAGCATACATGTAATCATCACCATCATCATCATCATCATCATCATCACCATCATCATCATCCCGTGCCTTGCCGACTGGCGTGGGCGATCATGGACCTCCACTTCCATCTGTTTTTCGATGCAGCAATGGTGTCTGTTGTTCTTGCTGCTCCTAGCCATGTTGTCATCTTGTCCAGTATCTTTTCCCTCTGTCTGCCTTTGCCTCTCTTTCCATTAAACTTTCCTGTTGTTACAATATTCTCTAATGCTTCTTTCCGAAAAGTGTGTCCGAAGAAATTTGCCTGTCGTTTTCCTATATTCGTGATAAGTTGTTTTCTATAATTTGCTTCAACCAGGACTTCTTCATTTATACATGTAATACATTCATATAAAAACAACATAAATACATTCATTTCATAACATTCATATTATTAAAAACAACCATCTGACCTCACCTCATCAGACCAGTCAGAAGACAAACAAGACACTGGACCAAGCCCATGAACTCCCGTGACGTAGACAACCGTTGCTTGGGGGTGACCCAGGACCTCACAGAACACGCGGGAAATCTCCAAAACCACGCCACAGATTTCTTCCCACACGAGCAACACGTCCTCACTTCGGGGCTTTTGGACGCGTGTCTGTTCCAGACCAAGTTATACACGGGGTATGATAATGTCTCTCCTTCCACCGAGAGTTCTATTGGACACTCGGACACACGAGACATTTGTAACAGGACTGAAGAGAGTTTTGTGAAAGGCTACAATGTCCCTCTTTCCACAGAGAGTTCCAGTAGATACTCGGATACAAAAGACATTTGTAACAGGACTGTTGTAGAGAACTTTCTAAAAGGCTATAATGCCCCTTCTTCTGAGAGTTCCAGTGGATATTTTGAGGCGAATGACGCTTGTTTCAGAACTGTGGATAACTTTGTAAAAGAATATAATGTCCCTCCTTCCACTGAGAATTCTGGGGGATATTCTGAGTCTAATGAAATTTGTAACAGGGCGGAAGAGAGTTCTGTGAAAGGCTATAATGTCCCTCCTCCGATTGAGGGTTTCAGTGGATATTCTGAGGCAAAAGACATCTGTAGCAGGAGTGTAGAGGACTTTGTAAAAGGACATAATAACTCTCTTTCCACTGAGAATTCTAGTGGATATTCTGAGCCAAATGACTTTTGTAACAGAAATGTAGAGAGCTTTTTGAAAGGGTATAATGCCCCTTCTGCTGAGAGTTCAGGTGGATATTCTGAGAAAAAAGACATTATTTACAGAACTGTGGATAACTTTGTAAAAGGATATAACGCCCCTTCTTCGACTGAAGGTAGCAGTGGATCCTCTGAGACCAAAGATATCTGTAGCAGGACTGTAGACAATTTTGTCAACGGATATTCCTCTCCTTTTACCGAGAGTACTAGGGGATACTCTGAGACAACAACCAGTTCGTGCAGCAATGTCGATAGCTTAGTGAACACAGGCGGGAGTGAGTGGGTTCACAGCACGCAAGGAGCAACAACTTCTGAGCTCGAGAATGTATCGGGGTTTCCCGAAGAGCCTCCAAGAAGATCGTGCGAAAGGTTGGAATACACATCCAGATACGGGGAACTGTCGGCTTCAGAGAGACTGGGACCTCGTGAGTAGAGTTGGTTCTTATTTCTATTCTGGAGATTTGTTTTGTCGTTATTAGTATTGAACTGTATTGTCTTTGTCATCTTTGTTGTTGTAGGCGTTGTTGATGTTGTCGTTGATAGTGGTTTGGTGGTGTTGCTGTTCTTGGTGCTGGTGGTGGTGGTGGTGTCGTAGATGTTCCTGCTGCTGCTGTTGCTGTTGTTGTTTTTGTTGTTATTGTTGTTGTTGTTGTTGTTTTGTTCCACTGTTTAGCGAAAGAGTCCAACATACGCCTCTTCGAAAATTGACGTAGTATGAAGGAGCCTTACATAAGGCAATCGTTTTGTCATCGTTGTTGTCATGATTTATTTGTTTCGTATTTCATATTTTTATTACTGTTGTTGTTATTACTGTTGTTGTTATTACTGTTGTTGTTATTAATGTTGTTGTTATTAATGTTGTTGTTATTACTGTTGTTGTTATTAATGTTGTTGTTATTAATGTTGTTGTTATTACTGCTGTTATTGTTACTGTTGTTACTATGACTGTTGTTATCATTTCTGTTGTTACTATTCCATTTTCCGATACGGCTGAGAGGGACACAACATCCCAGCAGAAAGACTGAGATACTCGCAAAGAAATTTTCCTCACTTGCGAATCGAACTCGACGGGTCTCTTGCGCGCGACTGTGAAGCACTAAACCGCTGCACCACAAACACACACTAACATACAAACACATACACACACACACACACACACACACACACACACACACACACACACACACACA